TCTGAATTTTTCTTTCTTCCCTTCCTTCCCTACCTCCTGGTTTGATTGGTTGTGTAGGGTTTTTTGTTTGGAATTAGGTCCTAATGTTCCTAAAGATTGGTCACCTTTCACCCTCAATTTTAGTTTAAAGCCTTCCGATAAGTTGAGCCATCCATTTTCCGAATATATTCTTCCCAGTTCTTATAAGGTGCAGCCCATCTGTTTTGATATGATAGTGTACCTATATTCCCTTTTGTGTTTATTTGTCTTGACAGTTTTCTTCTGCATTAGTGCTGGTGAGGAGCTGTGTCAACAGTGGAAGTGACATGTTTATTCTATAGTAACTAATAGTTATTTATTTCAGGAGGAAGCATCCAAAGCATTGCCATTTATAAAACATAGAAATGCTTGACACACCTGTTAAAATAAAGATGTTTTCGCATTGCAAAGGGCAACAGTCATCAAACCAGAAAGGTGTGAAGGAGCTAATAGTTAAAAGAGATTGTAGAGAGTAGAGAGGCTATAGAAGCTTAGATCTATATTAAATGGAATTATGGATACCATAAGCTCACCTTACGTTATGTTTGGGAAGAAGTCCTAATTTAATTCCAAAAGAGAATAATATACATTCAGAGTAAAATAATAATAATAATAAAACAAGCACCAGTAACAGGTGCCCCCAGAGTGTGGGGTCATAAAGTCAAGATGCTGGTTGCAGCCACATAATAAAAACCTACCCTTTTTACAATCATCACACACATGCAATACATGTTTAAAAAAAGGAGGGGAAGGGTTTTTATTGTATAATCATGGTTGCCATCTTGGCTTTTTTAAAAAAAACCTTATCCCTCCTGGAATATCTTGATTTATAATAGCTGTTGGCAGTCTCAATTGCTTCATGCTCTATAAAGGCAGGATATTAATCAAGGATCTAATGAGCTTTGCCACTCCAAAACCTTTTAGATTTGCAGCATATGGTAGTACAAATTCAAGTGGGATTTGCCCATGTTCAATGCCGCTTTCATTTGAATTGTACTTTTTCAGGAAGAAATGAGAGCAGGAGAAGAGAGCTCCACAAAACCTGGGGTAGGAGGGGAAAATCCCACGCCAGATTTTGTTCCCCTTTGTTCCCCTTTGCCTCTGATCTACAGGGAGTGTCAGTGCCATGAGATGTCATATGAATTCTATATGACAAATGTATAGGAGAAGATAATTTTTCCAATGGAACAAATTGGAAGTGGATATAGAAAAGAAGGATGTGAAAGCTGCTTTGGAAATTAGTGAAAAGAATAATATTGCAGCATGCCAAAAAATGTTGGGTGAATTTTTTTTTTAAAAAAAGATGGGGAAATGAATAGGAATATTTTAGGATAGGTAAATGCTGATAGAAAGTTAGTTTATGGTTTGTTTCAAGAACTGAATCCTTTTCAAAAGAAGCAACATTAGCTACGCATAATAATGTACCACCTTTTTATATAGAAGTGAGAATCACATTTGCTAGGAGAAACAAAAGTAAGTTAAAGGCCATGAAAATGAGAAATTGAAGAAGTGTGTGTGTAAAATAAGAAAAAGCAGCGACAAGAATACATTGGTGGTGCGTGAATGAATATGAATAAATTCAGGAGCGCTTAGAACAATAGAGATAAGTTCAGATGCTTGGTCATATATATTTTTCTTTGAATACATTTGAGGTGATTAGTCATATTTGATTGGCTCTCATATTTGTTTTTGTTTGAATACATTTGTTTTTTAATTTGATTGTTGTTCAGATTTGGTTTTTTAAATATCAAAACAAATTTGTTTTAAAATTATAAAACAAAATTTTATTTATTTAGTTTGTCACTCATGTAAAAGATAACAGGAATGGGAATAAACATGAATAAGAACACAGGAAATGGGTACAAATAAATGGGGATAGTGAGATAGGGACGTTAGGCACGCTGGTGCGCTTATGCACGTCCCCTTTATGGACCTCTTAGGAATGGGGTGAGGTCAACAGTAGATAGTTTAAGGTTAAAGCTATGGGGATTTGAGGATGTAACAGCAGAGTCAGGTAGAGCATTCCAGGCATTGACCACTCTGTTGTTGAAGTCGTATTTCCTGCAATCGAGTTTGGAGCGGTTTACCTTGAGTTTGTATCTATTGTTTGCCCGTATATTATCGAAGTTGAAGCTGAAGTAGTCATTGACAGGTAGGACGTTGTAGCAGATAATTTTGTGTACTACACTCAGGTCAGACCATTGGCAGCGTAGTTCGTCCAAGCCCAAAATTTCAAGCCCGGTGGCATAAGGGATTCTGTTGTGAGCAGAGGAGTGCAGTACTCTTCTCGTGAAATACCTCTGGGCTCGCTCAATTGTGTTAATGTCCGATATACCTTGTGGATTCAACTTCGATAATAT